GGGAGGGGGAGGACGTTTTGGGGGAGCTGGAGTACGAGAAGGTTCCCTTCTCCTCCCTGCGCCGAACCCTGGACCAGCGCCGGGCGCTCGTCATGCAGCTCTTCCAGGAGCACGGCTTCTTCCCCTCGGGTCTGTGCCCCAAAACACCCCAAAATCACCCCAAAATGGCCATAAATGTTCCTAAATGGCCCCAAAGTGCCACCAACCGCCACCCACTGGCGCCAAAATGGACCAAACTGGGCTCAAAATGGGCTCAAATTGGCTCCAAAATGGCCCTGTCCCCTCTTCAGGCAGCTCTTCCCTTCTCTTTGTCACCAACCAACCCCAAAATGGCCTCAAATGGCCCCAAAATGGCCCAAAATAGCCCCAAAATGTGCCCAACTGGCCCCAAAGTGTCACCAACCAGCCCCAAATGTCACCTGAGTGGCCCCAAGTGCCACCAAAATGGACCAAAATGGGCTCAAATTGGCTCCAAAATGGCCCTGTCCCCTCTTCAGGCAGCTCTTCCCTTCTCTTTGTCACCAACCAACCCCAAAATGGCCTCAAATGGCCCCAAAATGGCCCAAAATAGCCCCAAAATGTGCCCAACTGGCCCCAAAGTGTCACCAACCAGCCCCAAATGTCACCTGAGTGGCCCCAAGTGCCACCAAAATGGACCAAAATGGGCTCAAATTGGCTCCAAAATGGCCCTGTCCCCTCTTCAGGCAGCTCTTCCCTTCTCTTTGTCACCAACCAACCCCAAAATGGCCTCAAATGGCCCCAAAATGGCCCAAAATAGCCCCAAAATGTGCCCAAATGTCCCCAAAGTGCCACCCACCGGCGCCAAAATGGACCAAATTGGGCTCAAAAAGGGCTCAAATTGGCTTAAAAACGGCCCCATCCCCTCCTCAGGCAGCTCTTCCCCTGCTCTATGTCACCAAACAGCCCCAAAATGGCCCCAACTGGCCCCAAATGTCCCCAAAATGGGCCAAACTGGCCCCGTCCCCTCCTCAGGCAGCTCTTCCCTTCTCTTTGTCACCAACCGACCCCAAAATGGTCCAAAATGACCCTAAAATGGCCCCAACTGTCACCGGAGTGGCCCCAAGTGCCCCCAAAATGGGCTCAAATTGGCCCCAAAACGGCCCCGTCCCCTCCTCTCTGGCCCCAAAATGGCCCCAAGTCTCCCCCCGATCCCAACCAGCCCCAAAATGACCTCGACTGGCCCCAAAATGGCCGTGAAAGGTCTGTCCCCACCCCCCATGTCCCCCCC